TTAAAAGCCCTGAAGAAACTTGGAATAAAAGGCACATATCTCAACATAATAAGAATATCTAAGACAAATATAGTCAACATTATATTTAATGGGTAAAATCCCAAAGTATTTCCACTAAAATCAGGAGAAAGACAAGGGTGCCCACATGGTACTAGAAGTCTTAACTAGAGAAGCCAAAAAAAAAAGCGGGGGGGAGGGTGGATACATGGATACATAGGAAAGAAAGAAGTCAAGGTATCTTTATTTATAGATGATAGGATTCTATACACAAAAGAGCCTAAAGACTGCACCGGACTGATAAACACTTTCAGCTAAGTGGCAGAACATAAGAATCAGTAACCTTCTTACACAGCAATAACAAACATACTGAGGAAGAAATCAGGGCAACAAATGCATTCCCAACATCCTCAAAAAAATACCTTGGAGAGGAGGCCAACCTGGTCTATAGAGGAAGTTTCAGGCCAGCTCGGGCTTCAGGGAGAGCCTCTCTCTCTCTCTCTCTCTCTCTCTCTCTCACACACACACACACACACACACACACACACACAAACAAAAGCAGCTTACTTTGTTTCCAATCCCTCTCCTTGGGCCTTGGACCCATCCCACTGAGGCTGCCTGAGAGCGCCTGACTCGCTGACAGCCCACCTAGACGGAGACTATTCTAGAATTCTGCAATTGGTCACACACAGAGAATAAGTGTATGTGAGATGCTCAGTCCTAAGGGACACATCTGCAATGGAACCTCTACACCTAAGCCTCATGGAACATAGTGGAATAGGGGACAGAGAAAATACTAATGTATCTCTCAACTCTCACCAGTGAAGCTTCCTCATGCAACAGAGGGTGATAAACACAGAGGCCACAACTGGCCAAAGTGTAGAGAATAAGAGACTGAAGAGAGTGTCCCTGGATAGGACTCACTTACCCAGGGTTCAGGGACCACTGCAGAAGAGAAGGCAGAAAAATTCTAAGAGCCAGTGGTGTGCATAACCATAAGGAAACAGACTCCTCCAGGCTCCTGGGAATTTGCTCATACAAACTTACAGCAAATTGTGACGACATGTACAAGGTCCATGCAAACTCAATTACACAAAAACCAGCATAGAGCTGGGGAAATGGACAGGAGGCCCCAATCTCAGCTGAGGAACTACTGGCAGCTGATGACTGCTAGGTTAGGGAGAGGTGATCTTTAAGGGAGTGATGTTAAATAGGCTGACCAGGCTCCGGTGGCTGAACTCACACTGAGGGACATCTGGGTACACAAACTTGACTCAATTGGCCTTAACATATACGACAGAATACATGAAATCCTGTGGGTGGGCTATGTGGGTGCAGATGGGGGAGGGGTCTAAAGATGATTAAGATCTAGTGTATGAAATGCACAAAAATTCAATGAAATATACATTGAAGAAAAAATACCTTGGAATAAACTTAATCAAGGATATGAAAGATCTCTATAATGAAAACTTTAAAACACCACAGAAAGAAATTAAGAAGACAGCAGAAGACAGAAAGACTTTTTTAGCATGATCATAGATTAGAAGACTCAATGTTTTGAAAACGGTGATCATATCAAAAGCAATCTATATATTCAATGCACTCGTCATCAAAATTCCAGTGACACTCTTCATGAAATAGAAAAAAAATCTTAAATTCATTTATAAGTACAAAAGATGCTGGGTGGCCAAAGCAATCCTGAGAAATGATTACTGCTGGGGTATTACCATCACGGCACAAACGCATTCATAGGTTAATGGACTAGAATCAAGGACCCAGATACAAGGCTATACAACTATAGCCAACTAATTTTTGGCAAAGATGTCCAAAGTACACATTGGAGAAAAGACAGCATCTTGAACAAACTGTGCTAGGAAAACTGGATTATCTACATGTAGAAGAGTGAAAATAGATCCTTATCCCTTGTCTTATATGAAAATCAACTCTGTGGATCAAGGACCTCAACTTAAGACCTGACACTGAGAAACTGCCAAAAGACAAGGCAGAAGGTACACTTCAGGACATAGTGGAGGAAGGGACTGTCTGAATAGGACTCTGAGTGCCCAGGGAATAAGGCTCCAAATCAACAAATGGGATCTCATAAAAAAGCTTTTGTACAGCAAAGGAAACTGTCAATCCTGTGAAGTAGCAGCCAGAGTAGGAAAAAAAATGCTAGTGTTTCATCTAACAGATTAACATCTAGAATGTATACAGAACTCAAGAAAGTAATTTTTGAACTCAATCCAAAAAAGGGAACTGAAACTGAACAAGGCTCTCAAAAGAAGAAATGAAAATGGCTAATAAAAAATGACAAAAAATAATAACAACAAATGGTGGTGATGATGTTAGGGAAAGGGGACAGTTACTGTTGCTGGGAGTGTAAACTGATATAGCCACTATGGAAATAAGTGTGGAGGTGTCTCAAAACAATAAAAGCAGAACTACTACCCAGCCATACTACTCCTGGGTGCACTACCAAAAGGCTTCCATATGTCATTACAGAGGCACTTGCATATCCATATTCATTGCTGCTCTCTTCACAATAGCTAGGAAACAGAATCAATCTAGATATTCATCAACTAATAAATGAATAATGCAAAAGTGCATATACGCAATGGAATTTTATTCAGCTGTAAAGAAAAGTGCAGTAATATATTATACCAAGTGAGAAAACCCAGGCTCAGAAAGACATAAGCTATGTTTTCTCTCATCCTAGCTGTAATATGGATCCTAGCTATGGATTTTTAGATTTGTGTGTTTAAGTTGGAGCACTTGGAAAGGTCAGAAAGCTAGACAAAGCCCAAGAGAAGAGCCCTTAATGTGGAGGAGATAGGAGAACACAAGATACTAAAGTTGATGTGGGGAGAATACTGGAGGTTAAAGATTTAAGTGCAGATGGGGAAGTTAACCAAAACTAGGGGCATCTGAAAAATCCCTACTGAAACTTACTACTTTGCAAGTTAATTAAATAGTAAGCCAATTAAAAATAAAAGGTAGAGTTTGAACACAGGTGCCATGTGTGGGTGCAAATGCTGCTCTAAAAAGACATAGATTATTAAATGAAACTCTCAGTGCCAGGCTTGGGTTACTTCCCTAGGAGTTATTGGTCAGGGGGCCCCAGAGGTCCCAAAACATTACAAGCTGTTGCCACTGCTCTTGGTTGCCCACCATAACTCAATTAAGACCTACTGCTAAAGACACAACACACTGATTGCAGGACATTAAGAAATCAAGGTGGAACTGACCTGAAAACTTCTTCACTGTTGACTGGCTTTCAGAAGGTACTTTGCAGGCCACTGAGGGAGAAAATTCATCAACAGTCTAACCCAGCAGTAGACCTGCCCGGCATGCTACAATGCCAGGTCCACCTGCCAGGCAAGACGTGTATAATGATGCAATGTTGAAATGACTCTTATGAGGGCAACCAGCTAGTTCCTTTTTTAAAGGATTTTATTCATTATTTTTATTTTATGAGTTTATGTAAATGTACCCATGTTGTGCAGTGTCCACGAAAGTCAGAAGAGGCTGTTAGATCCCCTAGAACTGGAGTTACAGGCAGTTGTTAGTTGCCCTGTGGGTGCTGAGACTCAAACCCAGGTCCTCTGCAAGAGCAGCCAGTTAACCACTGAGCCATCTCTCCAGGTCCCATCCCTCCCCACCCCCCAACTACTTCCTGATTACATCTGAAGATAGCTCCACAGGGAGGAATTTATGCATAGTATTGTAAACCTGGTCAAAAGCCCATGGGAAATCCTAGGCCTTAGGGGAGAACCTACCACTACTGTTTTTTGCTAAATGACAAGTTATCAAACTGTCTTCTAAGCATTTATGCTTCTACCTACAGATTAGTACTGATCTTAACCTTGGCTTTCAGAAGCTTCTTTCTCCAGTGGGCAGTGGTTAATGCACTGACTTAGAACTTGTTAAAGTACTGGTAATAAGAGACTGTTAAGTGCAGTTCTAAATGGGATATCTGATTCAACCCTGCTGCCCCTCCCACCCCCCAAGGTTCAGGGACATCACACAAGAGCAGGTGGAAAGAATGGAAGAGCCAGAGGGAGGGAGGAGTGCTGTGAAATGCAGTCTTCTGGACATGGCATGGCCACTGCACTCATGAACTCACTGCAGCTGTGGTCACCTGCATACTATCAAGCCAAGAGACCAGTCAACATTCCAGCAGGCAGCACTAACTGGACTCAGTGGGCTACAGAGAAACAAAACAGAACAGGGGACATGAAGGTAAGAAGGAGACAGACAGGTGTCTTGGTGGAGTTGGGAGGTTGGCATGGACATGATCATGATATGTGGTATACAGGTATGAACCTGTCAAAAACTAAAAAATATTCTACAAAATAAAAAGAACCTGACAGGAGAATTGTCTTACTGGGACTGTAGGTGGCTACCTCATCTGCAGGGTTTTCAAGTCGGTTCTCAGGCTCCTAACTCTGTCTTCACAGTGGCAGGGCAAGCGCTTTATCAATTGAGCTATTCCCCAGCCCCAATTTTTGAAGGATTTTTTAACTCAGGATCTGTGGTTAGACTTCAGCAAGATCTTGGTAAAAAAATTAAACAGCAAACCAAAAATAAATTTTTTTCCTGAAGAAAGTCTTTTGCTTTCATTGGAAATAGTCCTTAATGACAAAAGACTTTAAAAAGTTAACCAACACCACCTTCAGGACCCAGCAAGGTATTGTACACTGTAACTCCAGCAGTCAGAAGACTATAGAAGGAAGACTGGGAGGTTGAGGGCAGCAGGGCTACAGGGTGAGGTCCAGGTCAGTCTGGACATGACAAGTCCTTTCTCAAAACAGCAACAAATACTATCCAAACTCCAAAAACTTACCGTCTTATGGAAAGTGGACCCTGAGAATGCCTCCCACTTTTCACATAAGCTCACAGTAACTTTCCTACATAAGCGCAACTGAGATGAACTATGTTTAGGGCTAACCTTTCCTGTCACACAGCTGACATTTTCTTAAAGTCAACCCCAAAAGTATACGTACCTCTTTTCCAAATCTCTGATTTTCTCTCTTAATGGTTCAACAATCTGGAACAATAACAAAAGTAGGTTTTAAAGCAAAACATCTTCCACCATTTTCCCCCTGTTTTAACACCTGAGGTCCACAGAGCATAAAGGCAAAGCAGGTTCAAAAAGGACAAAAGGTGACAGAGAGTTCCTCTGTAGAATCTCAGAGTCCCCTCCTACGGAGTAGAACTACTTTTGGGGAGTTTCAGAAGCACTGACTATCAAGCTCCCATAATGAAAACACCCCCCACCCCACCCCTAGGAAGTGAAATTGACAAATATCCAGGTAAACAGGAGCCAAACAGGGAAAAGAGACTAACCTCTTCGATCTTGCTTTCAATTTTCAGTTCACCATTTTCCTGGAGAGACCTGTTGAGCAGAAAGCTACAAGACTGAGGATACTGAAAGTTGTTGTGCCTTCAAGATTTGTTTCTGCACCAATTACCAGAACCCTAACCAGAGATTACAGCTCAAGCACTGGTTGTCAAGGCCAGTTCTCTCCAGCAGGGGGCAGAGCAGGAGGGGATCCCCTTCAATCCATCTAGGAAGCTGCAGTTTACACAGCAGACTGCTTCTGTTATACCCAGCAAGGGATTTTAAGAGAAGCAGGAAGTATGGTCGATAGGAGTCTATGCTTCTCTGTTGGGCTTTCCCAGGGATTGAACACAAAATGGAGTTTTTCCAAGCAAAAACACAGAGCACCTTTAAATGAGATCTGAGCACCCCACCTAGCCACACACAGCTGCCTTTGTCAGGAGACACCCTGGCAGGGGGAGTCAGATCAACACAGCCCCACCCGCCTTGTAAAACTCTCTGCAGGAGAACACTGCTGGGGGCTCAGGAACCTAGCCCTGTGGCCTTGTGCAGCAGCAGGAAAATCCCAAAGCAACCTCCCCACGCAAACAGCACTGCTGGCCACTCTCAGTTTCTATAGAAATAGCAAATGGAACAGACTCTTTAAACAGAAAATTGCACTCACCCTAACCATGCCAAATCTGCTTTTACAATAAATGCTTATTACTCTTGTGCTGATTTTTTAAAGGTTATTCTTTAATTTGGTACACAGATTCTACTTTTACAAGCATCCCTCCTGTCTATTAAAAAACGCAAATCAAAAAGGCCAGGATGGTGGTGCATGCCTCTAATCCTAACACTTGGCAGGCTGAGACAGGAGGATCATGGGTTTGAGGCAGTCTGGGCTACACAGCAAGTTCAAAGGTAGCAGGTGCTACATCATAACACTCTGTCTCAACAAACAAACAAACACCATACACACTTAAAACGGGGGATTCTCAAGCCTTAACCCCAAGACAGGAACTGGCTACAGACAACCACATCCAGTACAGATCAAATATCCCTAACTTGAAAATTCAAAAATCTAAAATCCATATAACCCTGAAATCTGCAACATCCCAAGCACCAGGATGAAAATTCTATCACTGGCTTCATGTCACCATCAAAACACAGGCTAACCGACAATAACTATAAAGTCGCCTTCAGGCTATACATTTGTAAGAACCACAAGTGAATCCTGTGTTTAGACATGGGTCCTATCCCCACACTATTTCATTATACATAAGCAAATATTCAAACACATACACATAAAAACCTCTAACATCTAAACATTTCCAGTCCCCAGCATTCTGGAGTCCAGGGACCCAAGCTGTAGCTGGCTCTTCTCTAAGGATCCTTCTGTGACTCTATAAAAGGCTCCATGTCCATGCTCAAGCCACATAGAAATGCTCTTTACATGGAGTAGTGAAAGCCAGGATCAACTGTCTGTATCTGAATGAGGAGGATGCAGGTGGACAATATAGTGATCATGATTTACACCTGGACTTCACTTGGATAAAGCGTAAAATGGGGTGCGTCTCTTGAGAACACGAAAAAGTTCAATGCATATGTTCAATGCAATGCACGCCTTCATCAAAAATAGTCAATTAATCCATAATACCAATACAGGTAACCATGTCTATAAAACCCAACCATAATACCCAAGTAATTAAAAATAATTACCTCATATTAACAAAGTTGCCCCAAACAGCTGTGAGGGAAGGAAGAAGAAAAAAAAGTCAGTATTTAAATCTATACCATCAGGGATTCCAGCTGATAAAATTTTAATGACAACTTTAAGGTTCACTGAAAACATTAAGAGTTCACAAAGACAATAAAATATAAATTTTGTTTTCAGAAAAATCAGGCACTACTAGGAAGTGGAAAATTATGATCCCATCTACCCCTGTAGCTCTGGCAATTCTTCCAGCATTTGAACTTTTGTACATTTCATACAACAGTTCTTAAAGGAGCATACGTGTTTTAAAAAACATGTCTTCAACATGCTGTTTAAGGAAGAGCTAGTCATTTTAAAAAGTCTAAAAGAGACTACCATCCTCAGGCCTCTTGGGGTAAGTCTATAGCGCAACTCTCGTGCCAGGACTCCCTAAGGCATATTCACCCTTCCATCCCTCCCGCCACTCTATACTCCTAGTTTGGGCCCTGCGCCATTCCTAGTCTTGGGGCCCCAGACACCTGGGGAACCAATACTGCTTCCTGATCCTTCTCACCCAGACCAACTCAGTCCCTTTCTTGGGCTCCAGGAGCACCGCTTCTGGTCCTGGCCC